GCTCAAGACACATGTCAGTTGTTTATACTTAAAGCGATCCCTCGTCCAGTGAACCATTTTAAACCTGTAAAACTGCAATAAACAAAAGACTTACATTTTAGGAAGAAACAGACCGGATTCAAAAGTAGAACAGTATTTGATTTTGAAGAAATAATACCTTAATCAAAGTGCAAGACTACGGTTGGTGCAATTCATAAATTGATAAATCGAGATCAGTATCAGGCAATATCAAGGATAATTCTCACAACCATGACTACCTGCAAAAATTTTGTGATGACAGTGTATCACAGTGCTTTTCGTAAGGAATGCAAATGTTGATGGTAATTAAAGATCCCATTTCGAGAACGAAAGATTTATGGCAAAGTGCACACACCTTCAACATTCTAAACAAGCACGACATCATAGTTTAAAGAAAGGAAACTATTGTGACTTTTTCGATTTTATTCATACACGAACAGCTCGGCTGTGCAAAAGATCGGCAGAAAATTTAATAAATAGAACAAGACAAACAATTGAAAACAACCTTGAGCATTGAAACGACAGAACACGGTCAACCTATAAAATGACTTGCCTTGCAGAAAGGATACGTGAACCTTTGCATGACTTGTTAAAATTTTAGGATTCCTTCTGTTTGGATTCTAAATTGTTTGCTTTTCGGAACAAGAAATTAAGCTAAGAATAAAAGGCAGTTTGATTTATAGAAGGAAAGAAGTGCTCTGTTTCGAATTGAATTTTGTCATTTTAAAGAATCAGTTGCCAAAGACTGCCGGATGTTAAAGTTGATCTGCTTGGCCTCACTGAGACAGGTGAATTCAAATCTTCGGGTCCAATATCTACCTAAATGATACATAACATCCATAAATGCCATACCACGCTATTAATTTTAGGAACAATCTGTAAAGACTCTTCAAATTTTGCAGAATACTTAGAAAAAATAACATGATTCCGTGCGAACATATGAATTTCAACCCATACGCGACCATTCGATTGATAAATTTACTGATTATTCAATACTACATTCAACAGCGTTCAACTTGTCATAACAAGTTCCTGAAAACATTCATTATAATACAAGAGCATGAACCTGAGAAGAAATGCAAAGAAAATTTTATGCAGTATGTACATAATTTACAGAATTCCAAAAGGAAGAATGGTTATCGATGAGTTGTGTTGTTTTCCTTGATTGGAAGGGAAGGTTAGAATTTTGAGGCCAAGCACATAAACTTTAACATTCCGTCTTTGTCAATTAAGGCCTTAAAATGACAAATTCAATTTGAAAGAAAGTTCTGATACCATTCATAAAAATTTAGTTATGCAATGCTACACTCTGAAACATTAATTATCATTTATAAGCATAAAACTGGAAAGAAATCCAACGAACATTGTATGTAGTATGTACATAATTTAGAAGAAAGAGCAACATGAGGGACACTGGAAATATTAATAAAAATCCAGCTGAGGAAAGAGACCGAGTGGATTGCGTAACCACGAAGTAGACACATGTTGTATTTTGAATATGTCTTGAAGTTGTTTAGATGTTGCCTTAGGTAGGTATGGGAAAAGGTGCCTATATTTCCCTTAAGGCAGAAAATGTTAGTATAAAACATAAGATTTCGATTCAAAGTTATATATAGCTTAAATAATTAGTTTAATTTAATTAAATGAGGGCAAAATCAGTTAGCCCTGAGGTTTCACTCAGCTAAAACCTTTACTCAATTTCTCACGGTTCTCTTATGTCTGTGGATAAAACACCAGTGCATTGTGTAACTTTTCAAATGAAAGCTGTTTAAAGGTACTTACAGGGTTGTAGCGTTTACTATGCTGCACAAAGTGTACATGATGGCCACAAATTTTAACTCATGGAGGATCAGACCCTATTACATAACCAATAAAATGGCAGTTACCATGTTCTCTAAAGTCACTGGTAATATGGTTTATTATTCCCATACACATTATTTTTCCAACTCTAGGTTTGTGGATGAAAAACCCAAGTGTATCGACATCATTTAAATATATGGTACTGAAAAGTCCTTCAAGTGTATGCAGCTCTGTCAGGAGAAGGGTTAAACGCAAACAATTTATTCCTGCTTCATTGCTTCAGAAAGGAACTAAACGCACTAGGCAAGCTGTTAGCCTACACTAGGCTACAATTGCTATTCCGTTTTCATAATTCACGAGCTCTGAAGTTTTAAAACTATGAAGGCAAGCATAAATTAACAACTGAAACACTAACTCAGTCTACCGTTTAAGACAATGGAATGTAGACACTTGACGGCGGCAATTGCCTAAAGCAAGACCTTTTGCTAAAACATATTTATGATCACTATTTTCGACTCATAGAAGGCGTGATAGTCTTGTGCAACAAAGGAGACAGTCAATTAAAATTTCATAATGTAATTTTGAGAAGTCAATCTCAATGACAATGCATGTTGTTATACCAATTGTAAACAATTTGGAAGAAGTTGCTATTTTCGTACGATCTGTTTTGTATAGGTTCTTCTCATATGGCGCCTAACATCTTTGCTCGCAATTAACGTCTGACAATAACCAGCACTAAAAGTTACTAGAGGAACTTTGAGATACGAAGTTTTCACTTGTAAGGAGTGCTAAAATACATTCAGCTTTAGTTCAATACAGTAAAGAATGAAGTATACACGTGTATACTACATCGAAATGGCCGTAGACATCGAATATTTACGCCAGTATTTAAATTTCGTGATAGCTTAAACCAGTGCTCGAGAGAGATGGACATAGCATGTGATTTCTGTCTGCTAAGAGAGGCTTAAAAAGTCAATTATCTTTTAATTAAACCTTACGTCCATTGTTAAAGGTTAACCACTGTGAAATGAACGTGCTTTGAGCACTTACGCACATAGATCGATTCACAGACGAATTAGCTACAAATCTGCAAATCCTTTCATCGGTTTTACAAATTATTAACTACAATTGCATTGCTAGAAAGAGGAGGAAAAGGACCATGAAGCAAAAACTTGATGATTTATATAGCAAAAACATTTCGAAAGCTTTCAGTGAATGTTCTGTGGTGAATGAATAATTTTCAGTCAATGAGCGTCTGCCCTCTTGAAAGTCAACACCGCAGACTTTTTAAGTCCAGGGAGGTTTTCAAACGAGCGTATTGATGACTATCTGTGACCTTATAAGTTGCTATGCAAATAAACTTGGAACATGTGGTACCCTTAATCTTTTAATACTAGCTTTGGCTTCAAGATTGTTAGCAATAGATCGGCTAAAACATGCTGTTCCAAACAAGCGTGGCTGGTTTTAGTTTACACTATGGCCAGGAAGGTTTATTTAACATCAGTATCCGCACGAAGCTGATTATTATTGTAATATGAGTACCATGTGTGGTTTTATAGTTAGGACGTATTTTACATATAATATAGATAGCACCTGCGCGCGCTCTGATTGGTCAAAAACCCATGTTTTATCAGAACGTAAAACATAGAAAAAGCGTGTTTAATTGTTTTTGGCCACATTACCTCTATGTCATAAAGCAAATGAAGAAGCCTAAGCCGTGCACTATACACTGCGATAAAACAATTTGAGGACACTCGAGAAATGTACACAGTAGACCTATTATATCAGGATGTGACGGCCCTACAGAAAGGATCTCATCTTTTGTTGACCACCTTCTTCAGCCAATAGCACAAAGACAAGCCTCGCATCTTTAAGACTTTCTTAACTTCATCGAGAAGACTAAACTGCCTCAGAACACCATTCTTGTCTCAATGGACGTCACCAGCCTCTACACAAACATACCACAGGAAGAGGGTATTTCCACAGTATGCGAAGCATACGAAGACTTTAATGCACGAGAACCCTCCAGAAATGCTAAGTCTGATTCAAGAAACCTCGTTCCAATTCAATGGAAAAGATTACCTCCAAACTCATGGAACAGCCATGGGAACGAAAATGATGATGGCCGTAGCTTTTGCTAACATATTTATGGCCAAAGTAGAAATACAAATACTCAGACAAAGTAACACGAAACCCATCTCCTGGAAAAGATTCATCGATGACGTCATATCTATTTGGAACACAAGTAGAGACAAAATAGAAGATTTCCTTCTAAGGGAAACAGTTTTCACCCAACGATCAAATTCACGGCTGAAATCTCAGAAACAGAAACTACGTTCCTGGACACGAAAGTGTACAAAGGTGACAGATTTCAAACGAACACATTTCAAACCTACAGAGACCTTTCATTACACGAATTTCTATTCGTGTCATCCGCCAGGCGTCACGAAAGGCTTTATCAAAGGAGAAGCGTTAAGGCTTCTGAGAACGAATTCCTCTCAATTTACTTTTGAGGAAAACATGAGTAATTTCAAAACACGCCTGCAGAATAGAGATTACCCAGCTAGAATTGTAGAGAAACACCTTTCACAGATTAAATTCTCTGACAGAAAAGTGTCGATAGCACAGAAAAACAAAACCGCACAAAAGAAAATACTGCCCTTTGTAACGCAATACCACCTGGCGTTGCCTAACCTAAAGGACACACTCGTTGGAAATGGCGCCTAATAGGTAATCAACCACAACTGAGAGAAATCTTTAAGGAGCCCCCCATCATCTCATATCGTAAGGGAAAATCCCTAAAAGACATCCCAGGTAAAGCTAAGCTATGAAGGTTTTAGAACTTATTCATCTGCGAACGGCAGGAGTCGTGCACTTGTGAACACTTTCTGATCACAAAAATATTGGCGGATCGACGGATTTGGTGAAAAAAAAAAAGGCACAGATCGGCTGATTTGCATACCGCTATTCACCCCCCTCCTTTTGTACAGAGATTTTATTGATATTATGTCTCATGGCTTTTCCACCCTTTCCTGTTGTACAGGCTGATTTTTCAGAGAAAATGTGGACATTTTGCAGAGATTTATTCCAATAAAATGCTTACATTTTACCGACATTATGTGTACTTTTCTGTAACATTCTGCGTAGTTTATTTGTGTAGATTTTACTGACATTGTATGCTTCTATTTTAACTCGAAATTTACAGATGTAATATAAAAATGTTTTTCTCCTGCCGTTTTTACAGAGCAAATGTGCAGATTTACAGAGATATATTTTTATGCTGTAAAATCTCAGTAAATTTTACAAAACATTTACAAGAAAAATAGCAACATTTCATGGACATTTTATGGGATCTGAGAGCGAACCTGTGTTAAAATTTACAGGCTTTTTATAGAGATTACAAAACCTCTGTGGTTGTGCAACTTTAAAGAGATTATAATTTACAAAGGAAATGTATACATTTTACAGAGATTTAACGAACTTTCTTGAAGTCTGTAAATGGTTCAACTTTGCAAGTGGCTCGGCTTAGCATAAGGCATAGCAACAAAGTCGAACAATGGAGAGAGGTAACTGCGCGCTTAACTTTTGAGATATTTGCAAGTTTTATAAACATTTCTGACATTTTGAATAACGGAAACTCTCTAAAATGATTCCAAATGGATTTGCAATCCTTTCTTCGAACAAATAGTATGAATCGGCTTGAAACTAGAACTTGTTTGCAACAAAAACACGATCGCTCATCTACAAGTTGTACCCTTGCTGCTGCTTAAAAAGATTAGATACATTTTAATCAATGTCTCAAAATTGCTTCTGTCTTATCCATGCAATTTTTTAAAAAAACGTAATAGAAATAAGAGGAACAAATGCAATTCCAGAAACAAAAAAAGCTGACAAACAATCAAGGTTCTTTCTAACCGTGACATTACATTTACATGAAATTAGAAAAATTTAAGGGCTGTAATAGTGATGTCGGTGAAACGAGTAACACCAGAACTCCTGGTTACACTTGCAGTATTTTCAGATTTGTTACGGCTAGTTCAAGGCGTAACTGGTCTGCCAATTAAACAATTGAACTTATCTCATTACGCCCAGGATATTATAAAACGTAATATCATGGGTGAGAACAAATTACTCTATAATTTTGGCGAAAACTTTCAGCGTTAATTTATAATTTCACATGTGAAATTTACAAAATTGCCAGGCCGTTTGGCCCGAAATTTCTCCATTTAATAAAAAAGTCAAAACCGTAAGCGTAATTTATTACCCATGATGTGAAAAGGTAATCAAATGGTATACTCGTGAAATTAGGAAATAATTTCAGTTGCTTTTTGTCAACATTCCTATAATTTCCAGAGCCGTTAGACGGGGGAAATTATATGAACTTTGAGAAAACCGGCTTGAAATGATTTCCTAATTTCACTCGTCACCATATGATTACTAAGTCTTGGAAAAAATGGCTAGTTGTGCTATTATCCCTCTTTCAGGGCAACACCCACATTCAAAAATGAAAAATGTAAATTGAACTACCGGCCAAGGTACTTTCCCCAGAATTGCATTATCATTTCATACAAGTTTCGAGTAACAGCGTGAAATGGGCTTAAAAAGACCAAGGCTAATAGCCAATTTTTCACAGGATTTTAGACTGAAGGTCAATGATTTTTGGTGACTTTTATATAAGATTAAGAATTCCGGAGTGAAATATCTCTTTCTCTAGACTGTGGTATGCCGATCTGCGTGTTTCGTCCAGTAATTGATTTCTTAAGAGATAAACGGTTCTTTTTTCGGCAAATCACTCTTACAATCAACGTAATTTGGCCACATGCCCTTATTCATTTAGGTTTTGTTTTCAAATCTCCAACAAAAGAGAAGATGCCAGCGTTTTCTGAAACTCATGTTTTGGGTTCTATAGGATATTTTGAATGTTTTTGATCTTAATTACTGAGTTTTTAGATTCTTATATAAAAATATCTGATTTGGCATTCAAAATTTTCCTATCAACGAAGTTTTTTGAGTGATATGCTTTTGATTTGTTTACCGTGGAGCTATTTTAAACACCACGTAACGGTCGCTATTAATTCCTTGTTTATAGCGGGTGGTTTCAGATTTTTAACGTGCCAGATTATCAAAACATAATGCATACAAGTGAAGTAAACCTCTCATAGACTGCAAGGAATATCTACTAGAAGTTAGACAGAGATATTAACACGAATTATCTTTAAACATGTCTAACGATTTTTTTTGTCCTGTGCATGCTCTCTGTTGTAATCTACTCGTGCATCTTGTTTACACAGGAAACAAGACCACTTTTTACAAAAGGGTTTAAATCAGCGTGACGGCCACACAAAAAGCAAGTACCAAATACTTTGGAAGCAGAAGAGGCATTCGCACTCACAAATCAGTTTATAGACAATAAAGAATACTCGCGGTGCAAGGTTGGGGTGTCTGTGGTACAAGCGACGTGATTTTGTACCTTTTGCCTCTGATCTCCACTCTCTGATAACTTATACCACGATGAAAGAATGCAAGTGTGTACATTTCTTTGAGCTTCTTTTCACCTGATGTAGTGAGTGGCATTGAAGAATAAATCTTATTAGTAATAAAATATTCTCAAAAACTCACTGCTTCTTAATGGCTGACCCAGACAAATGCCTCCAAGACCCTTGAACTCAGCCGTCTCGCTGAAAATCGATTGCAGGTTTAAATCGAATTTCATTGACAATCGTTTGCTTGAGAACATGTTTCCAACGTTTTACCAGTTCTCTAAAGACGGTTCTCCTGAAGAGCGCAAATCTCAGTTTCGGCACGGTGGCAAGTTAAGCCAACTAATAGAGGGGTATACGTGGGCTTGCAGTTCAACAAAGGTTAGAGTCTTTATTGCATGTTCTTGTCACAGCATGCCGCAGTCGCATCGTGCTGTTGTGAGCAAACATTTAGCACCATATCCTGTAAGAGTCTCAATACATTCTATCTGTTATTACGATTCAGCTGAAATGTAAGCTATTTGATAAAATTGGATTAAACTGTCATGTTAATAGATTCCATCATTAGCAATTCCTGCACAGATAGTCGATGGCGGAGAAACACATTTTAAAAATTTGTTTACATTTTAAGTCATTCCTTAGCCGGTGAACCATTTAATATAGGTATAACCACAATAAACAGCAGAATAGTTCTTTTCGAAAGAAGCAAACTGGATTAAAAAGTGAAACTGTATTTAATTTCGCAGAAATGGTACCTTACTCAAGGTTGAGATAGGGGTTGGTGCAATTCGTCAATCTGAATATCAAGGGAAACTTGTCACTACCATAACTAATTCAAAACTTTTGCCGTGTGTCACAGTGTTTTCCTTTGTATGAAGCCATAAAAAACCTAAATATTGTCGTTTATTAAATCTCCCATTTCGAGAATGAAAGATTTGTAGCAAAGTGCACACACCAGCACGACGTCACAGTTTCAAAGAAGGCAAGCAGTTGTTAGTTTTTCGATTTTATTCATAAGCATTAAAATTGCAGAGCATGTCAGCGGCACAAAATGATTGGGTGAGCAGAAATGGGATCTGTACCTAAAGTTTACTGGTTCAAATGTTCAAGGTACCTTCTGTTTCTCTTTCACAGTTTTTAATCCAGCTAAGAATAACACGTACCTTAACTCATATGAAAAATTTCTTATATTTGACTTTCTTCTGTGCTCCAACTAAAGAAACTAAACAACCGCTTGGACAAACAACCAAAGATACCACCAAAAATATTATTAGCATTCAACTTTAATTGTTTAGTCGAAGTCGTTAAGCCACGACTGAACAACAGTGATCCAACCTATATTGCTTTTGTCTTAAAAACATTCACCCAATTGAAACTAGATGATAATGAATTAAATCAATGCTTTCCTTCGAATTGAATTTTGTCATTTTAAGGCCTCAATAGGCAAAGGCTGAATGTTAACGCTGATCTGTTTGGTCTGAAAGGTGAATTCAAATGTCTGCTTAAATGATACATAACATCCCAAACTGCTATGTCAGGCTATTAATTTTAGGAATAGATATTTAGTAGTTGCAACAATCTGTAGAGACTCTTCAAGTTGTGCTGCATAGTTCGAAAAATTACATGAATCTGTAGCTAGGAGTATATGAATTTCATCTCAGACGACCATTCGAGTCAGGATTGAAATATTTTTACTGACTATTCAATGCCACTTCAATTCCTGAGTTCAACTTGCTATAGCATGTTCCTAAAAACATTCTTTATAATCAATAAGTATGAAACTTAAAATCTGTGTAACGAAAATGTTAAATAGTATGTACCTTTAGAGATCGAAAGAGCAATGTTTGTTTTCGTAGCGAGCGGCCAAAGGTAGCAGAGTCTTCGTGTTGTGTTGTTTACATTGAAAGGACAGAACACTAATTCACGGTCAATAAGCCGCGCTATAAAATACCACAACTTGAAAACGCCAGAACTCCTGCTTCAAAACTAACGGACGATAGCCGGAAAGGTTAATAACAAAAGATATCTAAGAGAGACACTGAAAACACTTCCAAACATTTGGCTTTGGGTAGACACCAAGTTAATTAACTACAATCTTAGGGTGTCTTGTCTAAATGTCATGAGGTAGATACATGTTGTATTTTTAAAGTTTCTAGAGTTCTTTGGTTGAACTTTCTTTAGGATGATGTAGCACAGAGGTACCATTTTTTTTACTTGTAGCAGAAAATGGTAGAGTAAAGAATTCTAATCATAGCTATAAATATCTGCATCGAATGGTTAAATCTTACATTGGATGGCAAAATCTATTAACCCTAAAAATTCACTCCATTGACCTTTAGCGATCAGCCGTCGTTTACTTTACTTCTTTTAACGACACACTGGCTTGTGAACATTCAAAAGAGACCTGTTTAGGTATGCTTACAGGCTGTATTGTTTATTTTGCAGCACAAAGTACACACGATGGTTATAACTTTATTCATTGCGGACCATTCATTGCATGACCTATCAAGTGAAGGCTATTAGGTACTCATGTCTCTGGTAATGTTTCTAATTGTGCTTGCTCACATTATTTTTATAACTTTAAGTAAGTATCTCAAAGCCCAATTTTGTCGACATTTAAACGAAAGCCAGTGAGTCAGGATGCTTTCACTTGCATAAAGGTCTTAGAGAGTTTGTAGTTCTGTGGGCCAGTTGAAGGGTTAAACCGCAAGCAATTTGTTCTTGCTTCATTGCTTTACAAAATCTATAAATCACGCAATGAAAGATATTTAACTAGTTTACAGTCGCAATTCCGTTTGAAAAATTCACGAACTTTGACTATTTACAATGTGAAGGCAACCACAAGTTAACAGTGAAACATTAAGCTCAGGTTACTGATTAAGACAATGGAATGTAGACACTTGACTGGATCAATTGCCTAAAGCAAGACCTTTTGTTAAAACGTATTTATGAGCACTATTTTCGATTGAAAGAAGGAATACTGAATGATATTCTTGTGCGTCAAAGCAGACAGTCAATTAAAATATCCTAATTTAATTTTGGGAGATTAATCTTAATAACAATACACGAGTAATGCACTACTTGGAAGAAGTTGCTATTTTCCTACGTTCTGTATTATATTGCCTCCTTCTGATATAGCGCCTAAAATATCTGTTTGTCAAATAGCGTCTGACTATAAACATCACTAAAAGCTACTAAAATAAACCTGAGGAACGTAGTTTTCACTTGAAAGGAGTGCCACCATAAACTCAGCCTTAGTCTAATACAGGTAAGAATGAAGTATATATAAACTACATAGAAATGACCGGGGACACCGAATTTATACGAATAAAATGTAACAAAATCCATTTCCGTAAAAGAAAATAATAACTTAAGGAATAGCCCTTAAAATTTGGAAACGCAAGTAGAAATACAATATGCTTATTACCGAGAAACATTCGAGACATTTGTGCTATTATTTTAATCCCGCGACAGTTTCAAGAGTAATGACCATAGCAAATGGTTTCTGTCTGTTAAGCGAGGCTTAAAAAGTCAACTATCTTTTAATTAAACCTTGCGCCCATTGTTAAACGTTAACCACTGTAAAGGGAACCTGCATTGAGCACTTATGCTTATAGATCCATTTACCGATGAATAAGCCACAAATCCCAAAATCCTTTTATCGACTTTAACATATTATTAACATTAATGGAAATGTTAGAAAGCGATGGCGACAGACAAAATGGTGCGTGCCTGTTTTTTTGTTGATATGGCAAAACATTTCGAAAGCTTTCACAGAATGAAGTTAAGTGAATAAATGAATAATTTTCAGACAATGAGTGTCTGCCCTCTTGAAAATCGACACCGCAGACTTTTTAAGTCCATGTAGGTTTTAAAACGAGCGTATTGATAACTATCTCTGACCTTACAAGTTGCTATACAAATAAACTTGGAACATGTTGCGCCCTTAATCTTTACTTCAAACAAAAGTTGATCTCTGGTTTCTGCTTCAAGAAAATTGACGAATTACATAACAGAGCTGCTGAAACATGCTGTTATACACGTGCTCGGCCCATTTCAGTTAACACTACGGCCAGGAAGTTTTTAACATCAGTATCCGGCTGGATTGTCAGTTTATTGTTACTTCAAACATCGAGGTAATAGCATGTGCGATTTTATTAAGACTTTTTGAAGATTAACTGTCTTTTCAACATTAGAAACATTTCTGTCCAATTCTATCTTTCAATTGATGTTTCTTGATGTCCAATGCCTTCATATTTGTGACATTACAAATGTGACTGAGCGAAAGACATTGTTTTAAATTCAGGAGATCTTTTTTTTTAAATAACTCAATGGTTTCGTTGAGAACCTGATGCCATTCCTCTTTTTGTTTTCATTATATTAACTGTTTTTTTTATTTGTGGCGTTTCAAACAAATAAAAAAGAATTTTAAAAAAATTAGTTTCCTTTTTTAGGATTTCAGTGATCAAAATGAAAATAAATATCTATTACAGGTGGTATCCTGTTTCATCATTTCTGTGTTCCAAGAGTGATTCAATGCCAGTACGGAAACGAAGAATTTCTTGATAACTATTTAGCAGAGGGACTAATACGGGATTGCATGGTTCAGGACTGTCCGCTTTTCCAGGACTGACTGACTGACTGGTTTTCTGAATGACTGTTTGACGGTGAGACAAACGGACAGACAGACTAACTGACTTACTAACTGACTGACTGACTGACTGACTGACTGACTGACTGACTGATAGCCTGAAAGAATGAGCTAAAATTATAAGTTTTCCCTGACTAAATGAATGACTAGCTGACTGTCTGAATGACAGATTGACTGATAAACAGACAGACAGACAGACTGACTGACAGACTAACTAGCTGACCGCCTGCCTGCCTGACTGACTGACTGACTGACTAACTGACTTGGAAATGACTGACTGACTGAATGAATGACTGACTGACTGACTGCCTTGGAAATGACTGACTGACTGACTGAATGAATGACTGACTGACTGTTGACTAATTGACTGACTGACTGACTGACTGGTTAACTGACTTGGAAATGACTGACTGACTNTTTCAATATTGGAAAAGAACGCAGCCATTTTCCTGCTAAAACACATTAAAGCTTTTTGAAACTCGAACGTTTTCGAGGCCCGTATTATATGTATAAAGATGCTTCCTTACTCTAGTGCTCGCCAATTAATGAAATGATAAAGCAAACATTTGAAGATAATCATGGTTATTTTGAATTTTTAAAAGCAATTTTATGTAGCAGTCATAAGACTTTAACGGACAATGAAGGCAACGTGTCGAGAAATTCGTCCTTGACTTAAAAAACCACAAATTTTCCCAGTTAGAACTTTGCAATTAGTGCAACAAACATTCGGCATAAACTGTATCATCAGAGCAAGGTTTAATCGTATACTTCTTAATGTGGGCAGATGATTTGTAAAAAGAGTGGGGGAATGAATAATTTTTTTTAAAGCTTTTAGCAACATTTCATAGTTACACGGGAATCGGTTTCGTTGCCCAAGGTAAACCCTCGAATTGACCCTTAGAATTATGAGTCTTTGCCATTATACCCTGCAGTTCTTCACATGCAGTTACAAATGTGGGTTACAGTTATTTAGCTTAGAGGTATCTGTAGTGATTTTTCTAGTTTCCTTGTATTTGCAGCTTCGAAATCAAGTGTAGAAACCTTAATGTTCAAGATAAAGAATTATGGAACCCACTGAGTTCTCGGTTGAAACAACTGCATTTATCGAAGTACCGTATCATATGATTTACCCAATTCATTCGTCCGATATTTTAGGTCACTAACTATGCACAGTGGTGTGCTGTCTCTAGAATTTGCTTTGTACATTGAAACTACCTTTAAGTGCAAGCTCTTGGTCTAAATCAGTGGACACTAAGGAATTCGTTATTGATTTTTTTTTTGTCTCGAGTTATTTTAAGGCCATTATACGCAGACAGCAAGGCTCCCATGCATTGTGTTTATTACTCAACTAAGTCAGTCATATCCAGCTGTCCATCGGTGTTGCAAATGAATAATTTCTTGGTGTGTTCCTTTTTATTCTTTTGTTTTCCTTTCAAATGCAAGTTTACCGTGAAAATTAATTGCGCCGCGCCCCGAGTCGTCTAAATAAAGAACTAAACTTGATTGCGTCAATCAAGAAACGGATCACTGCTTCACAAGGCTCAAGCAAATTGGCATAGTCGTGTTCTTGTTTCAAAAAATTTTAACTACAACATTCCAAACGAATTTCTTGCAGCAAAACCAAAAGGTGGCGTGCATTTGATATTTAGCCGGAATGCATTGAATAAAATCGAACATTCCAGGGGATATGTGAATTTAAAAAAAGCTACGGAGCATGGTTTATTTATGTATTTTAGACATAGCTTCAGGCGTCATAGCTTCATAGCTTCATGGTCATGTGATTTTCAATTAGATTCTATTCCTTCATTGAAATTTTAACCAAGGCTTCGTTAAATTGGTTTACTCAGTACTAAAGTAAATACAAGTTCTGAAACTATGAGCCTTTTATAATGCAGCGAAACGAATTTGGGCTCAGTTGCAGAATGTCCTATCCCTCTTGTTTACTGGTGCAATATATAAAGATTTGCAGCATTGCTGGGAAATAAGTTACTCTCGATTACTCGTATTTCTGTCTTATCTAATTACCATGAATTATATTTGCATCGAGTCCGGCATAGGTTGAAAAAGGTTTAAAATAAGCCATTATGAGTTATTTAAGTTATTCCAGGTTGATACTGTAGCTTAGGATTATACGATTTTTTAGTTTTACCACTTCAGTGAGTAATTTAAGTCCCAACTAAAGAAGCAAGAAGCAAGTTGGTATTTTCAGCCAGCTATTTTATTCAAACGTTCTTATTTTGTTTCTTATTTACTATACAGGTAAAGGGCGTATGCAGCCACGTTGAAAGTGCTCCCAAATGGCGTGTCATTGATTGAAAATCCAAAGCCACAACACAAAGAAATCTATAGCGTAGCTTGTCGACAAAACAAACATTATCAGGAATTTCCATGCCATCTACTGTTGAACAGCAGGCAAACTGGCTGCGTCCAACAGCCGATTTGCTGACGAGCAAGACCGTCAGATAAAATGGTTGTACAAATCGTTCACTTCTGCGGGGAAAACTGACTAACAAGTGTATACGGGAGGTGGCAGTATATTTGCTATATTTTGTTTGCTAACAATGGAGTTAGCTTAGGAAATTTTGAAAAGTTACTATAACTTCCGTAAACTTCACACAAATTATTGTTTCCCGGTCTGCTGAAACTAAACACGATGGATTTTATTATTTATGCTCGAAGTTTCTTGCAACTATGAAGCCATATATAAATGCGAATATAAAATGAGTGTATTCATTCAGTACTTGATATTTCCATCACTGCTTTACTGCAACAGAACGCTTCTGACATTAAATCTTGTGGTGTTCTTTAAAAGCCAACAGAGAAAGTCTGTTTGTTGCAAATTGTTTTATCGTGTGTCGTATCCTAAGAGTTACCGCCCTGCCTGTTCAAGCAACAGTAATATACATGTATAAAAGTTGAAATCTCAGTGACGTTTAATTAACACACTGGCTTAAAATTATCAATGAACGCGGCTTCCTCCCTGCTGTTGTTTATATTACATTCTCCAGTTGTTTTGGTTAGAGCACAGTGGACCATAGCCTCTGCTGGTCACGTTCAAAAGCGTATTGTGCAGAAATTAAAATGCACTTTCAACTGTATAACTATTTCCGGTCAGTTTGATCTGTTGACTACATTATATTCGTTTGAAGGAAGGACACGCTTAAATATATAGGGCACAAAGAAAATTAGCGGGGAAACTGAAAGACGTTTGGAGAAAGGAAAAGGTTTATTGTTGAGTAATTCACATCATGTGCCGAGTTTTAATTTCGTTCCCTACCGGGATTTTACACTAAAACAGCGACACTCTGGCGACAACTTAAGTTTGTGGTTCCTTCCATTTATCAAAGCGAGAGCATTGTAGAATATTGGTCGCCTAGCGTTTTGACTGCCATTAACACACGCCGAAAAGTAACTGTAAATAATTAAGAAGCTTCGCCAACCCGTACGTTGGAGAACAACTTCAATTTTTTTTTTCGTTCTTTTCACTTATGCCACGGCTTTCAAACACAGCTAAATTTCGTTGGAAAGGCCACGAATTAACTAACCACTCAACTAAACGATGCTTTAAATTCTAGTTCTACGATTGCTCTGTCGTATGGCCAACGGAAGTTTTTTAAAAAATAGACTCGAGAGGATAACGCGCACGAGTTGCGACTCAATTCGCTCGCTTGTTGCGCAATGGTCGTCGTAACTCAAGCTTTACCGGGCGAGGCATCGATGAAAGTTTACAAAAGCAAGCGATAAACTAGGTCAACGAGAAGAAAACAAATATCTCAGACGGACTTGAGTATTTGTCTAAAAGGTTGACCCAAGTGACCGCCATTGTTGTGTTGTTGTGCTTTCAACATTATCTGCAGCCTGATGAAGTGAAATTTATATGTAGCCAGAAAAAAAAAAAGAAAACCTCACAATTTTTTGTGCGGATTCTAATGTTATATTAATTTTGTCTGCAATGTGTTTCACTCAGACATAATGAATATATTTCGTATGGCCCGAGGTTAAGAATGTTAATTAGAAGTGTGTGTCCTTTCAGTTGCCACACGAAAGCTCAAATCCTTTATTCCCTTTTCTCTTATTTCCAGAAGAAATAAATTACAGAGCTGCAGTGTCCACTAGAACCAGAAGTGAACACTTCAAGTGGAAACTGCTAGAAACCCTCACTACGAAAAGTCTTGAAGGTCGAGCTTTTCCAAGGTGACTAGCCACAACATGAAATATGCGCGTCAAAACACAAGTTACTCGCCCGTAATCAAACATTCCATCTACAAATTGTGGATAATGACTGGAATTTGAAAATAGTCAACGCTGCGAGAACACGCAAGCAACCTTTTCCTCTCCTTATGCGAGTTCAACAACTTCGTAGTGATGTGACAAGGTTTCCCTTTGTATTGGTGCCCAACACAAAGAGGTTAATGCCAACAATTGATTGATATATAATAAAACATCGAGGGCAATTGTGCTCAGGTTCTTTAAGGAGCCCTGGGTTAAGACTTACAGCATGTTACAGTACATTTTCCGAGACCAGGTCGATTCAGTTAATCAATATTTAAACACATTTGAAATTTTCTCGCATTAATTTTGCTCTCACCGAGTAGAATTCAGTGATGCGTTTTAGACACAAAGCTATTGACATACACCTGGAATGGAAATTGATCTATTTCCTCTTCCCATCAGAAAAAAATTGTTACGAGGAAGTCGGGTTTCAACTCATAAAAATTTTCTAGTGGCTACTTCAGCGGCAAAAATGAATCTTTCCCTTTAAAGTGCGCTTGTGCCTCGAAGCTGTAGGAAAATTGATCTGGCGTTGCATAGAATTTCAAAAAGCTCCGACAAAGCGAATTTCAAAGCTCAGACATTCGAACAATCGAACGAAATTGCTTTTAGCTAATATACATACGACGCAGACATTGTTGAATTTTATGAGTACACGCAAAACCCAGCCTTGCACGCAAACTTTTAATTGGGTTTTCAAGGCGTATTTTACACTAAAAATCACGCGAGGCCTTCCTTAGACCCCTTTGCCCGCATAAAGGATTGGTACTTCACGAGGGGAGAAACCACTATGATAAAGATATACCAGAGGTCGATAGGTCGATAATTGCAGCGAAGTAATGTGATTACAACGTGTTCAACCTTGGAAATAGCGTGTATTGTTACAGTTCGAAATCCCGCAAAACATTAAACTAACAGACGTGAGCTCATGGCATCACGCAACAGTAAAACAGGGAAGATTCCGACGAAGGCAGCAGCATTTGAAAGGAAGATTTGAGAACAGGAAGTCGCAGAAAAATTAATAAAAGTTAAAACAAATAACGTTTCGCTCCAGCGTTTTCTCAGCTTCATTCGTGTCGAGGCCGGGCTGATTTCTGAGTGGCACATTATAGCACAAAAGTGACGCAGAGTAAACATTGCCCTTTATTTTGAATAAAAACTAAGATCAACGAATCTGCAGAAAAGGAATTGTGTTTATCTCGTGTCTGAGGAGATTAATACAACCGTGAACATCAAATTCTTTCACAAATGTCGCATTGGACCACGTTAGGAAGTGCACGAGTGTTTTGTCGACCCCGAGTGCCAAAACTTGGCAAAAGATTTGCGAATTAGTTATCTTTATTGCAATTCATTAAACGGAAACTTTAGCGGTTCACAAGGTTAATTTTGTAGTTTCTTGGTGTGATGTTTAACAAGTCTTTAACGCAGGGGTCATTTTTGATGTGTAACGCTGAATTGAATTGTCTCAGTTGAAAGTTAACGATCGAAGAGTCAAAGACGGCAATTCTATTCAAATTGACATTACTTCAACGTTTTACGACAAATAAATGGACAAGCAAACAAATGGTCGGCAACGATTAGATTTGACTTCAGAAATTCTTACGCTAAAAATAAAAGAAATATTGTTTCCCTTAACGAAGAAAAGACTCCACCGCGGCGATATGTGAAAGTGTCCAAAACCCCGACTTACCAAACAAGAGGTCAGTTGATAACCGACAAAAACACCATGGGATATCTACCTTATTTGACCTTGAAATCTAGCCTGAAGTCCGATAAATTCGACCATGTAGATTTCTACCTGGCTAGAAAATAAATATTAAGAGACACGAGCGAGAGGGAAGGGCATTTCCGTGTCAAAGCCATTATTCATGTAGGTCGTTTCATATGACTGTGTATTTTGGGTGAACGTGTGGTTGTAGGAGCTCATCGTAAAACAAACAGAATCCCGAAGAGGATTACGCCCGCAACTTGGTCGATATAGGAAATAATATCAATCCACTTGCAATGATGGCAAGCTTAATGTTTTTCCCGTTCATAGCGGCTGTTCATTAAAGAAAGACGTGCATTAGCGTTACGTAAAATTGTGCCAAGTGTTTGATGACGCTACGACTAAAACGCAACATGCTTCAAAGAGACACGTCTTCGTCAAGAAAAAAAATCTTTTCTCGCGTCACATGTGTATCAAAAAGGACAAAGAAACACAGCAGATTCGACCACGAATAGGGAACAGACGAAATACCGGAGTTAACATTGTTTAACCAGCCAAATATTTTTGAAAACAAGAGGTTGTTTACACAGGCCTCCTTTCGACTTGGGAAAACTTATGGACAAGTTCCACGCCTATCGGTTGTGTTTTCCATGTCACTGTTCATTTAATCCAGTTAAATTTCAAATAAAAAGAGAGTGGGTCCTTGTAAAAGCAGAGCGCTTCAGCGAATGTAAATTGAACGTGAAACATTTGGTCGGAATACTAATGATGTTTTCAAATGCCTTCTGTCTGCCAACGTGGATGATTTTATCAATGTTAAAAGAAACGCGATAAATTCGGCATTATCGGGTCGAGAGAGCCGCATAATACGAAGAGAAATGAATGATCTGTTTCTGTTATTTACTAGCCAGGAGATATCTTGACCTATGACGCCCAAACTAAATAACCCAGATTTTATATTTAGCTACTATGAACGAAGAATAAGTCTGCATGCGATATTACACCGGTCGTGGTCCACTACCACAATTGTGTCTGAGAGACAATTCCGAGATAACACATCAGATTTTTTCCAAAATTCTCTTTTAATTTTGTATAATTTCAGTGATAATGTCTTGGACATTCAATTTCTGACACACAGCTTAGAAAATTCTACCTACAATGTTGTTGCTTTAAGCAACACTGGCCGGGCCTTAAACATGGAATCAAACACACAGCGAACTTATAGTTCGATGAAGAAAAAATACATTAACAAATAGCTAAGCTACCTCGAAGACACACTGCAGTGTAAAAAAACAAACTATATAACTCCTATACAACTTCTATTAACCAGTCTTTCCACGAACTTCGTGAGAAGTCTCGTACGAGCGTCTAGAATTGAAACGTATTTACATAACATATATAGTTCGAACATCACCTCCGTCACTAATATCGAAAATCATACCTTCTAGTTTCACTTTTGGAACGAGTTCCATTCTGTGTCCTCTGCAAATACTTATAAAATACTATAAGTTCTCCAACGCACGACAAATATCCTTTATAAATCGCTACCTAAAAAATACTAAAGGTTTTAGGGCTTAAAGCCCGTATTCTTCTAACAAATTTTGAACAAGTTGAAAACGTTTAGTGTTCTTTTGAAGAACAGCAAGGGGTCGTGTTAGCGTTAGCTATTTAGAGGAACGCTCAATTCTCTCCTCGTCGGGTGTCTTTAAGAGCAAGGAAGATAAGGCCAGCTCGTAGGCGTTCCTGACAATAACATATCTCTAAGCAAGGTTTCGATTGGCGTCTTACCCACAAGACGAACAAAGAAAAGTTGTTCGACAATGGACGAGTTGATACTGCGTAAAGACGGCAGCCTCAACAACAATTTTCCAAAACGAGTAGGTTGGTTCGGGTACTGATTCCTTGTATACTCCTCCAAAGCACATTGTGTCTTTTCCTGCAGGCTGTCGATATACTGTGGGTCAGTCAAACCGGAGGCATCTGTAAAAACACGATTATATTCGGTGACATTGGGAACTTGAAATGATGTTGTGTGGGTGACGCGATCGATACTCCTATAGGCGCGAAACACGCTCTTCAGGACATTACTATTAATTTGCCACAACCGACGCATCTAGTTCTGTTGATATACACGAGCTGCTATAAAATATTAAAACGTATTAAAAATATCAAGCACTTGTAGCCGGCTGTCCCAAAAATTCGAGCTTGTTTCCAACTTACCTGAAGTGAAGAGAACGATGGCTTTGAGGCAAGCGAATTCTGCAGCGTCCACGTGGAGATTTCGATACTTTTCAACCTGTTCTTGGAAGATTCTAACATTATCCATAAATGTCACCATTCTGTCTGGGGACATGTGGTTCGAGTGGATGCCAGCAGTGGCAAGAAGAGGGGCAACTTGAAGCGGCATCGGACACTGGGCGGCGTTTAGCACAAACAACTCACTCCACACCAAACGCAAGAGAGCGACTTGATCCGTCACAGCTAGATCCGGGAAGAAGGGAATATTCCTAGCCCATTCCACAGCGCTGAACAGCAAACGAGCCGCCAGTTCACAGATGTTCTCGATGCCCATGATACCACAAGGCATGTTCAAACCCTGCTGGTACCGGGCCGTGGGATACGGCTCAGCTCTGAGCAACAGGCTGATGAATCCGGATAAAAACGAGTGGCCATTGGCTACATCGCCGCCATTTAGCGAGGGATGCTGGGGACTCGGTTGCGGAACTTGCGTTGGAGGGATGCGACCTCGCTGAACGGCTGTCGAGAAAAGGTGAAAAGGTTCATTCAACATGCTAGTCAGGCACTTACCAGGACTACTCACTACTGTAACAGCCAAGTGACTGACGCACACGGATTTGCTACTAACGTGAAAACTTCTCACCCGTACCCTCGCGCCTCATGCCGACTTTGATGCACTTTCTCAGCCGACAGTACTGACACTGGTTTCGATGATGTTGATCGATAGGGCAGTTGCGTGAAGCTCGACAAGTGTAGCTGAGGTTACGACGAACGCTGCGCTTGAAAAACGACTTGCAGCCTTCACAGGTAAACACGCCGTAATGCTTGCCAGAGGACTTGTCACCGCAGACTGCGCATTCCACTTGCTGCACATTTTTTTCGGACGATTCCTCCACCGGTTCGGTCTTCTCCGTGCACCATGTTGTTGAGACTGGAACCACGGCCATACCACCCGGCAAATTAGGACTACGGATATAATTATAAATCCAACAGTTAGTGGTGCTTCGCGAGAGCGCGAGCCGATCGTGCTCCAGTGATTAATCTCTCAGCGGCGAGGGAACATTACACGCGGAAACAATTAGTGGCTTTCCCACGGCACAAGCGGTCACGTTCACTTACTCGGCTCAAAATCTGTTGCGCGAATGCTTTTTTCATGCAAGCTAAGTGGCATATGTAGATATGTAGCGACACAGAGGACGATCGGTGCGCGAGCGACAATACCTCACTATGCAAAAACATCAGCCCGTGTCATGTCTGAAAAAGCTGAACTTTGACATAATCTGTTGGAGCTGTCCGGTATCCCTGGAGACGATTACTATATATGGTCGGCCTGTCAAGCGGAGGTTCAAGGGCTCTTTAACAGTTGTGACTTAAAAATTGCCCCGGGGCTTAGGAACGTTCAGCTCTATTGGATTCAGTTGTCACAAAGAGCAAATGATTGGTCAAAATCGCCCCTTGGCTGACATGGAGAAGGTTCTTTGTCTGAAACGCCAGTGCGGTTTTATTTTTAACGCGCGCGTTTACTACTCATACTGTTTTAAAACAGCTCTAGGCTATTTCGGCTCGACAGTACATGAAATTTCCAAGTCAGATGAGGGCTGAAGGATCGTCAAGACACCCAGAGAAGTTCGCATGACTTTGCGCGTGAGCTACATTGTGTAAATAGCAATTTAACACCTCGGCGTGCGAACGTGAAACGAGATATCACGAAAAGGAAATAAGCGAGAAACACTCAAACTGTCGCTAAGCGCGTTTCTTTTGCTTTCTCTCTGGTTACTTACTTTGTTAATAGTCACGCCAGTCGATACAATTGAGAACAATCCCTCCCCTTACGTAAAGGTCTTTGTTTCAGGAAGCGAGCAAGAATTCCATATGACCCTCCCGTACGCTGAGACAGCGACTGTCAACGGCCGGCAAGTTTAATGACATGCTCTGATAACGGATCTCAAAGATTTCGAGATGGATAATTTTCACTTTTCCCAAAAGCATACGCAAGGACACGCAACCTTTGAATATTTACATAAGCATTATACAATGTATTGTTTCAAGTGACGGTCGCTGTTTGAACCTGCCAAGTTCAGTAAAGCACAAAAACATAGAAAAACAGCAGGGAATTCGGTCGTTCGACGACACTCGAACCCCGTGCACCAAGAACTACAAACGCTGGCGTTCCCGGTGATAGGAGCAAACTGATTTTACAGATAATTTGCATAATTAAGCCCCGAGAAATGCCAAGTAGATACTGCCAAACAAAGATGTTTATTGAAGTTGATCGACCGCCCGCTATCGCGAGCCACAGTCGGCGTAATATCATTACAACAAGTCACGCACAGGGCTTATGCGGAGGGAGCAAATTTAAATGGATTATTTTAAACGGGCCTGGCCAGCCGTTGACGACAAATCACCGTTAGAGCCAGCAAAAAACCCTGGGGACAGTTGCAAAGCGTTTTCGCGGCGAATCCGATTAAAAATAGCTTGGATCATTTTTGCTGTCGAATTCTCTCGCGCTATCTAGACAAAGAGTCGCTTGGGTGCATTCTTTTAATAGCTCGCATTTCGCCCGGATAAAATTGCACCATTAAGAAAACACTAAGAGCTGATGATAATAGCGCCAAGACAGCTTGATGAATTGTGTTTATACAAAATTATATTTAACCTTGACAGACCAAAAAGGGCGGTCCTCGGGTTTTGTTTCGCGTGCGAAACTAAACCCAACTTCCGCAGACACAGTAACCAAATATTAACCCCCAAAAATGTTTCTTCTTTGCTTACAAATCTACGCACAGCGAAATCCATCTTGGAATGATCTAGAAAGGGTGTTGCAATCAACAGTTGAAAGCTACCCACCGCAACAAACCGCGATAAAATTGTTCTTCTGAGTGCGTCCTCTCAGAGAGCTGGTTTCGTTTGTTGACGAAGTAAATGAGGTCACAATGAATTATTATGGTGATCGGTGGCTTTCTTTCAATGGCCTTGTGCGTTAGTACATTTGTTAAGACGCAAGCTAACAACACCGCATTTCCGGGTCGCTTCGATTTCCTTGAGCAAGAAATTAGAGTTTAAGAGCCACTGCTCCACTTGTCTCACAAAGCCAAACTTAACCCACGCGGGAAAAAGGATAATTAACGACGAAAACGCGTGGTGAAAATTCGGAGTGTGCATTATGGAAGAACCGTTGTTACGTAATTTGCACATGGCGTTTTGTATCTAAGGTTAAATGAAATTTCAACAAGGGAAGCCAAAGGTTGAAACAATGATCTAATTAAAACATTACCAAGTCCAAGGAGATGGAAACGCCACTTGTAAATAGGTCAAAGAGATTTTCATTACCGAAGTGATTGCATATTCCTTGCAGACGGTTGCGCAATTACACGTCCACAACAGACTTCCTTATATCTCGCAGAAATTAAAAGAATTTATCAAAACATCCTTAGTCCTTAAAACACGGAAATCTTGCCAGGTTGACAAACAAACTCAGTATAAAAGTAGCTGTAATTAAGGTTCCTGTAATGAAAACTGACCCATAGAACGATGCAACTTTGGTTAAGCTGGGTGAAGCTTTTTTTTTTAACAGCGTTGAAAAGCTAACCACAAAAACTCAAGGTCGCCAAAATGAATTCTGTGGAACGTAGTCGATGCTATACTTTGCCGAAATTGTGTATTTTGCTTCATTTGAAGTTGCAACGTAGACCTCTCACGTAGAAGTCTTTTCGCTGGCTAATAGTTCATCTGAGAAAAAAATCTCCCACGCCCAGCCATGTCCCCTACTCCGCCCCCCGTGACGTACACAGCCTTTGCCAATGCACCTTACAGACACCTTGTTGTCTTGTAGGTAATCAGATAACACAAATCAGAGTCATAGTTTAAAAGCAAATAAAACATCGTCCCACTATTAATCGAATGTACGATGAAGAAAGATGTTACTAACCAAAATTGAATCCCCTTTTTTCATAATAATCTCACCGGAATTTTAAATATTAAAGAAACTTATGCTCAACATTCTAAACAGCAAAGGCTGTTATCAAAGAAAAGAGTATTATTTAACGCAGTTACTTGGCTACAATTTCAACCTTTAAGTTTCCTTCATGTCTACAGAGTTTCATGAATGTAACAGTTTTACTTGTTAACGATGCTGGAAAACAAAATAACTAGCTCTTTCGATGCTTTTAGTGGCTCATAGGGGATTTACACCCCACAGCTGACAGGAGAGTACCGATTTGTTGCTGTTGTTGTTGTTGTTGTTGTTGTTGCAGCTGTTACAATCTTTCTATTGTTGACATTGGTTCCTTCGTCAAGAGATTACAAAGCACGCTTTACGCAAACATGTCTCAGTTCTGAACATTACAAATATTCTGACGTCAGTTAAACGAGAAGAACATGTTATCTTTTTTTGCCGTTGGTGTAGTTACTAAATAGAAGGTGGTCTCTGCGAAAACAATCCACGCTTGAAGCATAGAAAAACTACTAGTGGAAACAAGAGCAGAACGAAAGTGTTCAGCAGTTTTTCCAGACCTCAAAAGTGTACTATTTTCTTACAAAACATAGGAACACAATCTTCTATTTGGTTTTGAGTATTGCATGAAAAAGCAAAAATATTTACATCTGAGACGGAGCGGTGTTGCGGCGCTGTCAACACAACATTCGGGGTATACATGCTAATTTCTGGAGATACAGTTTTGTCATGATATATCAGCTGAGAGCCTCAAAACTGACTTACATAGAAAGCACCGCTTCGTTGCTGGGTCCAGAACAACACTGAAAAGTTATAGTGGCTGTCTTTTAAAAAACAACAACAACAAAACAAAAACAAAACAGAAATTTCCCCAACAAAGCGTTGATGACCCAAACGTGCAACTTGAACTCTGCTCTCCACGCAACAACACAGACAGAACACCGTTTTTAAAAACAACTTCTTTACGTTTTGTTTTCCAGAAACGGAATCATAACCTTAACACGGATTTTTCAGCTTTCTACAAAAACAACTTCAATCCTGCTGTCTTATCAAATTCAACTTCCTGTATTGTTATTGGAGCAATCGCAATTCGAATCAATGTTGTTCATTTGTCAATATTTTTTTCCAGCTGAGAGTTAAGAAAATTTGCTATAACATAATGCGCTGTAATAGTCGAAGGTCAAGGGCAAAGTAAAATATTTTGCTTAAAAACAAACTAGGCCGTTTATAGTAAAATTATTCACTAAAATTTTGCATTAATTCTGGAAGATATCAACTCGATGAACAAACAGATACTCTGTGGCAATGAAATCAAACGAGCCTGTAGTACTGCGAAATCAATGCAAAATCTACTGAGGAAAACGAAATTTACTGTGAGGCGACTTAGAGCTTTGCTCGGTTTTGGCCGTTTTTCAGTTTCGTTTATCGTTGCAGCTGCACTGAAACCGGAATAAGCACTGTGCAGCGTTGCGGTTTCTTTTCTCAAGCTTGTCTCGGTCTATCCCAGACATACCAGGCTGTTTTTGTTTCCTTATAAGCTTAAATTCTTGTACTTGTTTCCCTCACCTTTTAGCATATTTGAGTTCAAGTGCTTCTCGAGCTACAAGAACGCTGAGACACGTCTATAGTTTTTCCTAATTTGAGCATTCAAAGTATCTATAGCAAGTTACAATTTCATTCTCTTTCTCCCCTAGCAATGTCATCTTCAAATGATGCCAATATATTAACGGAGCTACATCATGGTTTGAGCATCTTAAAAATTTTAGCCTAAATTTTTCAAGCTCGTTGTTTGTAATCCGTGTCAATCTTCTTCATCCGTAACCATCCTTGTTCCTTTATGGTTTATTATTATCTCTTTGGTGTTCTTCTATCTTAGTAAACTTTTATTTACAGGTTCCTTCAATTTGAAGGTAATTTTGTACATGGCCAAATTCCAAACAGCCTTCTGAAAGTAACGGGATGAGGGGACGTTTTAGAAGTGAAGACGAGCTTGTTGATCTCATTTCTCAGGCAGTTGAGCAGTAGAGATATACATGTAATAGTTTATTTACAATGCACAGATTGTTTCGGATGTTTCGTGATAACTGATATAGTCTGTCTTGGCATTTACTTACATAGCTCGAGGAAGAAGCCTCGTATTTTGTACTTTGTGTGTCACAAAAGCCAAGGAATCAACTCCGGCCATGTTGTTAACTTTAGGTCTGTCACCAGGTAAGATTGGCTACACTCGGCCTTGCTTCACAAAAAATCAAATTGCTGCAAGTCTCTAGCAAGCATGCCCATCGCTTTCTATTGCGCGAAATGACGCCCCAGAACGTTATTCAAACTGGCACTGCGAAATTGTGGTAAGACCTTGACAGTCGACCAGTACAACTCTATCAACAAGTAAGCTGAGTCAACTGTACGCAAGCAATTTACAGAGCTTCTAATCAACGCTTCAGGCAACAAGCAAGTCACATCAGTCATTTCGTAGAATAAATCCGTTCAAACACATCCAACACCTTTTCTATCAAGCATTGTTTTTAACGGCCTGGCAATCGTCAATTTTGGTTGTTTTTTTTTTTTTAAATAACGCAGCGTTTTTTTCTTTGTGAAACTATGTTAAAAAAGCCCCAAACTGATGCAATCTATATTGGGGTGTCCACGTATCATGCGCATTCGATCGCGAAACTTGCATCAACTTCTTTTCAGCACGAGTTGCAAAAAAATCGTTACATGTTAAAAAGGAAATTTTATTGGATATGGTTAAATGAAAACATATGGTCTCGTAAGAAGTCAAGAA